CAGGGTTCTTAGCTTCTCACCTAAAAGGTTGCACTCCTTAATCCAGCTTTTAAAATTCAATTGTCTTTCACCAGTTTAGTTATTTAGACCATGGCTAGCAGCAGTTATTTATCACCAACAAAATAAATGTCTCTTTTCATTCAGATTCTACTGAAAGAGTGAATCCAGCCTGAGTGATAAATAGTTTACTGTGTAAAATAAACGCAAAAGACCATGGGTTACTGATACAATAGTACCTTTATAGCTAATAATCAGACAGTATTATTATATATAATAACTACGCAGACACTAAACGTTTCTGAAAATAAGCATAACAGAACAAAGAAAAGGGGAAGAGAGGTTTAAATGTTCGATCTGAGGGATGTTGGAAGTTTAAGGCTTAATGCATTGAAAGTGTCCTTTAAAATTGCAGCAGATAAATGTGAATAATCCCTGACATAGTGATTTTAAATGCAGTCAAAACAGTGCAGTTTCATACAGTTTTATTGTGAAAGTGAATGACTTAGGAATACATTAAACTGTGATGAGCCTGAGAGAGCAATGGCTTAGCTGGCCCCAGGTTGTATGGTCCGGGCAGGTCTCGCTTAAGCAAAGAAGCTCACTACACCGTATACGGCATGAGCTAGCTGGGTGCTAGCAATGCTAGCCACTCCAATTCAGCAGCTTCTTCAGACCCACGTGGCTCAGTCAGTCTGTTCCATCAGCATTAGCAACTCTTCAAACCATAAGCAATTGAATTTGAAAGCATATTTTGAATGAAACAGAAACATGACTATCTATTCTACCTAGATCACCCAAGCAGAGCACTAAGAATCAGATGGAAAGGGGGAAGGATACTATTACTGTTTTTGCTCGGTGGAGTGGAAAGCAGGACCAGTGACTGATCGGCTGCTCCTAGCGTCCTCTAATGGTCCTTCAGTCGACAGTAATTTTGGCCTCCCCTATTTCTCCTTTCTGCGGTTAGATTTAGGCTACCAGAGCTGGATTGGCTCTCCTCTGCAGGCAGTTTAAGAAAACACTGCATTACAGTTTGATTATAATTCTGTTTGAATTGCAGGAAGAAAAAACAACAACACTGCATTCAGCCTTTTCTGGATCGTAGGAATGGTAGTCTCCGGAAGGACTTGGTTGCTACTTTATCGTAGCCATCAGCTGGGAAGCACTAAGAGTCTAGCCTTTAGCAGCGGTGCACTGCCGTCAACAGGAAGTTGAATGGGAAGTACTTACTCTGATTAACTCCATTGTAGGGGTGTGCTTTCAGAGGGGAGCAGTTCCAGTTACATTATCGACAGTGGATCCAAACACAATAATGTTGACAAAGAAAGAAGTGTAGAATGCTCTGTTTGTGGGTGGCTTTTAAAAAGCTGTTCTAATACAGCCCTAGAAGGACTGAACATCTTCTGACCTCCAAGAATGACACAGGTCACCCGCAGCCCCTCTACTCTCTGGTGCACTTTTTGCCCAGCGAGCTTCTCCAAAGTGAAACCAGAACTTCCTTTTCTCCTGTACGTTACCGGCTGTTTCTCATAGCAGGAGGCTCGGTGACGGTAGTGACACTGCTGCATTTTAGCTGTAGATGGTAGATGTGGTTTCCCACAAATTTGTGTCCAAAAGCCTAAACTATTTCATTTAGCCTTCATTGGCCACAAGAGCTTGGTTTGCTACCATGGTGACAACAGTTTCCGTTTCCGATGATGGCCAAAAGGCCATCCTAAGAGCAAAGGCTGTGTTTATGCACCATGAAGGGGAATCAGTTTAGATGCAAAAGATGCTTCACAGTGAGAGTAGTGAGTAAGGGGAGGAAGGCCACTGATGGGGAAAGGCTCAGAGTGCTCTTATGAAGAGTCTCTTTGATGACTGAGTTGTAGTAAAACACCGAGTTACCAATATTTGGAAAGGAATAAGTTACCTTAATTTCTCATTGACAAACTCAAACAGTTACTAACATTGTTGTAATGTAACGTTGTTACTATCTACAGTGGTGTTACCTCAGACTTCTAAACAAAAGCTCAGCTAAGGTAAGTCATTGAAGAGTAGTAGTTCTCTATAGTTCAGTCTGGACATGTTTGCTGTGAGGCTTCCAGCAGATCTTTGAGTCAATAATCACTCCTAATAATTTTACTTTAAAAGAGAGGTTACAGATATGAGTCAGTGGTTTAATAACTGCATCCACAACTCTTAGGACTATTATCAAACTAATGCCATCACAGTCAGTGGACCTTTGATTTCTACATTTGTGAAACACATCTATGATCTCCTCCACTTCCAATTGTGTGAAACATTAGCTTTGGATTTTTTGTCCAAGGATCAGGGATCTTTTCTCCCAGTTTAGGGCCGACTTTTACAAAATCTTGTTTGAACTTTCAACGGCTACAGACATTTCTGCTGTCATTTTATTGCATCAAACACATATCATATATTAGGGTGACCAAACGTCCGTATTTCCCGGGACATATCCGTATTTCACGTCCTGTCCCGGGCGTCCCGGGTTTTTTTTAGAAAGTGAGGAAATGTCCTGATTTCACTGCGCACGACGCTCCGTGTGACGTAATCCCTGAGCCGCGTCAGTGCGGGCAGCCCTGCTCTTAATCAGAGGCTCTGTTCGAAAAAACCTGGGCTGCATCCTCCAAGGACGCGGTCTCCCTAGACCGGATCCTTC